AGTCGTCACCGTACGCCAAAACCGTTTAAGAATAGGTTCAATTAATATTTTGGCAATTAACTTGGGCAATTTTTGAATGTCGACAATCTTGGGCAAACTTTTCGTTTTGTCTGCCTGTTATCCTGAGGGAGGGGTAGGAGAGTGAATAAGTCACAATATCTGAATGAACGCAAGGTGCTACATAGTTCAGGGCTGTGCTTTTTCTTTTCGCTCTTTTTTTCAGTGACCACTGAAGTTAATGCAAGCAGGGATACATAGCACCTTTCAGTCTGGCGAGGGTTACTAGAGGAATAAAGACCTGCCGCTTTGTGAATGGTGAAGACCCGTAACAATTATTTTCTCCTCTTCGAGATCAAACTGAGAAGGATCCTTTAGGTCATTTTCAGTTCAATTCGTCTTTCGAATGTTTCGCTTCTCGAAGAGGAGTTCTGGTCTCGATTGTACAAGATTAGATAAAAATCTCTTGGATGATAGTGTTACGTTTTTTACTCTAAATAAAAAAAGTCTGAACTGAACAGGTTCCTGTTTGTTTATAAGGGCTTTGTGTGACGCCGCACAATAAAGTTTCATGAGACTGAACAACTGCTAGGAGAGACGAAAAAGCACTTGAGGAGATGACTATGGTTTTACATCTGAGGTTAATCGGAGCTGAAATCCTTTTCACATTGATAACGGCTACTTTAGTAGTCCTCAACCATGGTAAAATACCTCACATTGTATTCATCTTAGCAGACGATCTGGGTTTTAATGACGTTGGCTATCACAACTCAGTATTCAAAACCAATATTTTGGACGGGTTGGCTCGCTCCGGGGTTCGACTGGAGAACTATTAGGTTCAACCTATTTGTACTCCAACGAGAGCACAGCTTTTGACGGGCAGATACGATATACACGCTGGACTACAACATGAAATAATTTGGCCCTCGCAGGCCAACGCTCTGCCGAGTAACGAGACTACAATCGCAGAAAAATTAAAAGACAGTGGCTACAGGACCCACCTGGTGGGAAAATGGCACCTCGGTTTCTACCATAAGAAATTCATACCAACAAGAAGGGGATTTGATTCGTTTTACGGTTTTCTAACCGGTGGACAAGATTACTACACGCATCGGAATCGACTTGGGTTTCCGGCATCGAGTTACAAGTTTCGCAACGGTTGACTTTTACAACGGTTCATTTTTAGCAGCGATAATGGAGGACAAGTCACGGCGGGGGGAAACAATTGGCCGCTACGCGGTTGGAAAACTTCACTGTGGGAAGGAGGAATAAGAAGCGTTGGCTTTGTGAACAGTGATCTGATTCAGAAGCCTGGGAGAGTTTATAGGGGACTGATGCACGTGTCTGACTGGTTTCCCACCATCTCGCACTTGGCTGGGGTATCGGTTGAGGACATTCCTCTGGACGGTGTAAATCAGTGGGTGAGCATTAGCGAGAACTTGACGCCCCCAAGGAACGAAATCTTAGATAATATTGACCCTATAGATACATTCTGGGGAAATCCTGATGGATACTCTCACTGTCGTAGCGCCGCTATCAGAAAAGGGGATTGGAAACTCTTACTTGGCTGTCCAGGAAACGGAGATTGGGTTGCAGCACCAGAATCGGGTTCTAAGACCCAGTCCTCCTCCAACCAACACAGCGCAAATAGCGTGTTTCTTTTCAACATTACGGGCGATCCCCAAGAGAAGAGAGAGATTTCAGATCAGTTCCCGGATGTAGTGCGTGATTTACTCGGTAGCATGTACAAATATAACAATAGTGCAGTGCCCGCAAGGTTCCCAGACCCCGATCCCAAATCCAAGCCGCTAAATCATGGAGGGGCCTGGCGACCGTGGAAGGATTGAGTGATCATTACGAAATCAAATCGCTCTGTTTC